GAACAGATAGAATTGTCCCGGTCCATCACCGCCGATTTCGCTTTTGTATTTTGTATATTCTCATTGGAGAAGTATTCATACATATAGACTGACACTATTGTTTCGTTAAGCTGTCAAAATTTCAGTAACTGTTCTAACCATAGGATGCATCTTTTATACATTTCAGTTTATACTTATGGTTTTATCAAATACTTCACTTATATGAAGACTTATGACAGATGATCATTTTATGTAAGCTTAAAGGACGATACAGGGCAGATACTGAATGAAACGGCAATAAAATCCTCATCGCTATGTTGGTTTGGTTAGTTTCTTGTCCAACGCTGCACTCAGCAATATTCCAGCTATATGACCGAGGTATGTAATATTCTGGACCAGACAATCCAGTGATTAATATCATGAGCATCGATCCACGCAATTGGGATCGATGACATGCATCAACCAAGTCAGCGAGCCTGACCACCCGATCCGGTTAGTCGCCTCTTACGACAAGCATAGTCGCCTTTTACGGCAAGCATGGGTTGCTGAAGACCTATTCTACCCCGGATCTTCACGGGTCTCACCGCTTTGTCATTGTATGTATAACAGCTAGTGACCGCGACATGGAATAACAGCTAGGGACCGCGACATGGAATAACAGCTAGGGGCCGTTGGTGAAGTATTCATACATATAGACTGACACTATTGTTTCGGTAAGCGGTCAAAATTTCAGTAACTGTTCTAACCATAGGATGCAACTTTTATACATTTCAGTTTATACTTATGGTTTTATCAAATACTTCATTTATATGAAGACTTATGACAGATGGTCATTTTATGTAAGCTTAAAGGACGATACAGGGCAGATACTGAATGAAACGGTAATAAAATCCTCATCGCTATGTTGGTTTGGTTAGTTTCTGTCTTAGTGATGCAAACATATATCACAACGTGGATATTCGCGGGGATAATAATTACAATGTATTACAGAAATCCTACCTGTATATTATAATCTATCTCAGATAAAATTCATCTCTGAACTAAATAGCTGATAGTAACTGCATACATACATATATACTTGTGCAAGAAATATCGCATGAAATTGAATTGAAAATCAATGGCCATATCTTGATTAACACAGTCTCTGATAAAATAAAATAAATTATCTTAACAAGCAACTAAATTTATATTGAAAAGGAGCAGCAGTGAGACAGGGATCTAGACTTGCTTTGTTAGGGATATACATTACAGTGAGGGCTGGGTGGAAGGGAACATATTGTGGTTCGGGGACTGATACAGACAATGGTCAAGACTTGTATGTTAACAGCTGGACCCCAGCTTCTTCCTGACCTCGTCTCAGCATGGATGAGGTTCCAGATGGTAGACCTTGGGACCCGGAGCCATATTTTGTAGAGCTACTAAGGGATGGTCCGTTTTGTAGCGCATGTCAATCAAAAACATTCTGCAAGCTTAACCTTGAATGTTGTAACCTTGATCCAACAGCTTTTGAGCAAGAGTCATGTGTCTCTCCTTGAAATCTTCGTAGAAAGAACAGGCTCGATTGTGCCTCAAAAGGCAACAAAGGCTGGTGCTGCTGGAACAATGCTCGACATAAAAGTATTGTTGACTATTGGTAAGTTGTGTTGTGTTCCTTGCTCTGTAAACTGAGAATTGTTAACACAACATGCATGCCCTGAACCACGGCCCTGGATGTACAGGGAACAGACAGGGGACTTCCTCAAGGTGGGCGGATGTCCTGATAAGTAGAAAAACACAGCAGTGTCATCTGTTTTTGTCGGGTGAACGTTCCAGCACATAAAATATTATAGAGCATTGTCTAGGCACAGGTTTCTGAACAACTTAATAGTCAGATAATATCACATGTATATTAAGTTGTGTCCCCCAGGTAATATCTCTAGGAATCCAGGTATCGTCGCTTGGAATCAAGGTATTATCTCTTGGAGTCCAGGTATTATCTCTCGGAATCCAGGTATCGTCGCTTGGAATCAAGGTATTATCTCTTCGAAATCAGTAGTTATCTCGAAGAATCCAGGTTTCTGAACCATTTAAGAGAGTCAGATTAAATTACAAGAATATTAAGTTATTATCTCGAGGAATCCAGGTAACTGAAAGGGATGGACATCTATCTCAAAGTTTAGAAAGGTATGAGATGACACAATTTGTTTTGTTTAACGCCGCAGTCTCAGCAATATTTCAGCTGTATGACGGCGGTCTGAATATCGATCTACACAATTTGGATACGATGGCAAACATCAACCACCCGATCCCGTTAGTCTCCTTTTACGACAAGCATAGTAGCCTCTTTGGGCAAGCATGGGTTGTGAAGACCTATTCTAACCCGGAACTTCACGTGTCTAGATGACAGAAAATAGCCCACATCTAAGGGATTAATTATGAAAAGGGAAGGACATTCGTGTAAACATATTGCAATATGGCAGTGTAATTGATTAAGTTGTCAGGAATGTAGTACTATCTAATGTAAGCAGTGGTTTTGAAGTTACTATATTTAGATGCTCTTTGGAGTCAAGTGTAATCTTCCGGAACAGCTCGACTCCACCAGCACTGTCTGGACACTTCTAGAAGGTATTTAGGCCAAATACGATGACAAGAACGTGCCTCTCGCATCTCACATTACATCTCACATTGCATCAAACCAGCGGATGTGTGAATATCACTGTTTTCACCCTGAATATCCGACTTAGGCCTACTTTTGGAAGCTTGACCACTGTTGCGGCTGGGTGATTATTATTACCACTGCCATTTGTACTGTCACTTTGTTGTATACTGTCATTGAAATTACTTTGCAGTAATTTTATTGATTTGGTAAACCTAGTTGTTTGTTGGCTTCACACTGAATTTTTTTACGTACATATTTCTGGGTTAACTTATTGTTAAGGTAGTAACTGAGAAGGTAGTTTTGGTGTTTTGTGATGGCATCTTGGGAGATGGACTTGGTTTTGCGATGGTGGCGTATTCGCTCTGTGACCAGGTGTTGCGAGGCTTTCTGTAGAATAGTGCATGCTGCTGTTTTCTTAGTTGTAGACCTTTAGAAATTGATAAAACTCCAAATTTTAAAATGGCCGCCAGATACAAAACAGCAACGAGACGTAATTTGGAACACTGCAACCTTGATACGCAAAATGGATAAATTTGCAAAAGGAGACTAATGCCATGCCCTTGTCATATTAACAACACAAGTTCATCACACTCTGCATCTGCAAACTGTCTTTTATCCCCACTTTAGCAGCTCTCTACATGACCGGAACGCCTCTTATAGTTTAGTCCAGAAGGGTTCCTATGAATCTGTTGGAGTTTAAAACCAACCCCACTTTACTTGGACAATGGAGAGCTGGATCTCTTTCAAGGGCCTGACCCCATGTGTGTCCAGCACGGTAGGCAACTCGCTTTGTGTTTTTATACAATGCCGCAGCTGTTTGTGGAATATTCTTAATTGATCGGCTCTGTTGCGTGAACAGTTCTTTTTGATGGAATCATTGGCATTGACAATGTTGCTGGTTCGGTCATACGACAGACACACAAAGCGATGTGCAAAGGGAAAGTTTTCTTCCCATCATGTTCAGTAGGTCCAGAGTGTTTGAAATGCATCAGTGACTTCTGTGTCAGCAAGTATCAGAGCAAAGACGTATATACGTCGTTGATCAAAGCAAGTATCAGAGCAAAGACGTATATACGTCGTTGATCAAAGCAAGTATCAGAGCAAAGACGTATATACGTCGTTGATCAAAGCAAGTATCAGAAAGTCTTACTTCATGCTAAAATATTCACCCATGTCCCATGAAGATCCATTAAATTCAATGAATATACTCTTCATGAAAATTATATACATATATACTTGACTTGCCTTCGCATGTGTTTGTGACGGTTGCCACCGGTGGGGCAGGATACGCTCACCTTTTCACGAACACCTGATATCATCTCTATTTGATAGTGATTCATTAACACTTACTCAGGAATCTGCTTTATGCAGATATTGCTATTGGATATGGAAAGGGTTTTGTCGCTATATTTATAGTGTTCATTCGATGTTTATCTTTCTGACGGCACTGACTGGAAGGGGTAGGCCGCGCCCCTAAAAAGAATATACCTTACAATGTTAAAATTTTATAATTAATGTTAAATCTAGTAAACTTGACACGCCTCCGTTTGTGTCATACTCTTGACATGCATGGATTCCATACCGGTAATATATATATACAACACAGGTCTCCCCACAATCAATGTACGGATTGTGTATATTCTGTACCGGCAGGGGGCAATACCCAATCAGCTTGCAGGCCTAGCCGGCCGTGCTAATTAAGCCAGGGCTCCTCGTTAGCGCCTTTAAGATCCGATTTGGCCGTAACAAATACAGACCTCAAAATACGCACTTTTAATAAAGCTCAACAGTATTAAGTTTACATTTTTACACTGTTTTTTTCCCCACCTTCGTATTGTACACCATACTGGCTATATATTTTAATGATGTAAGAAATATCTATTACTATTTTTCATGATATTTGCACTTTATGTATACCAGGGCTTTCCTTTTATTATAATTATACATCCTTTATGTATCGTATATCATCCATGAACATGGCAGCTTTTGTAGATAATGAAAGCCAGATGTCGCACGCACCCTACAAATAGGAGACTCAATACATGCAGATTTTTTTAAGGATATGAATCCGCTTAGCGGATTCTTACAAACGTTTGCACATCGGTCGGCTAATCAGAATGCAGGAATTACAATGAACACAACGGAAAATTAATTATATTCATTAAAACAACTTCATTTGTCAGATTGAAACTGATCGTGTACACGGCTGACGCATGTGTATAAGTCTCACTGCATTTGCTGGATGACGTAAAGAGGGACGACACAACAGCAGATTGTTCAGGCAAAGAGGGACGACACAACAGCAGACTTTGTTCAAGTAAAGAGGGACGACACAACAGCAGACTTTGTTGAGGTAAAGAGGGGCGACACAACAGCAGACTGTTCAGGTACAGAGGGACGACACAACAGCAGATTGTTCAGGTAAAGAGGGGCGACACAACAGCAGACTTTGTTCAGGTAAAGAGGGACGACACAACAGCAGACTGTTCAGGTAAAGAGGGACGACACAACAGCAGATTGTTCAGGTAAAGAGGGACGACACAACAGCAGACTGTTCAGGTAAAGAGGGACGACACAACAGCAGACTTTGTTCAGGTAAAGAGGGGCGACACAACAGCAGACTTTGTTCAGGTAAAGAGGGACGACACAACAGCAGACTTTGTTCAAGTAAAGAGGGACGACACAACAGCAGACTTTGTTGAGGTAAAGAGGGGCGACACAACAGCAGACTGTTCAGGTAAAGAGGGACGACACAACAGCAGATTGTTCAGGTAAAGAGGGGCGACACAACAGCAGACTTTGTTCAGGTAAAGAGGGACGACACAACAGCAGACTGTTCAGGTAAAGAGGGACGACACAACAGCAGATTGTTCAGGTAAAGAGGGACGACACAACAGCAGACTGTTCAGGTAAAGAGGGACGACACAACAGCAGACTTTGTTCAGGTAAAGAGGGACGACACAACAGCAGACTTTGTTCAGGTAAAGAGGGACGACACAACAGCAGACTTTGTTCAAGTAAAGAGGGTCGACACATCAGCAGACCGTTCCGGTAAAGTGCTCCGCACAATCGTCAATATAACCTTCGGAGTAAACTAAAACCGACTCAAGCGGCTTGGTAAGAGGATAGGTTGACGTTATTTAACAGTTATTTAACACCACCTGGGTAAGAGGTTGTTTATGTTACATCTGGATGTGAGGTTGTTTAGTAAAAAAGACGGGTGTGAGGATTTTTGGTTAAATAATGTGTGATTGTTAAACAAAGTGTCGTAAAATACATCCCAATTTTTCAAGTTTACAGCATTACGATTTGAGAAAAGTCAGCCCAGCAAAGATGAGTGAAATTCACGACTTTTTGAGAGACTGCTACGACTCCACTTCTGTAAAGTGCAACTTCATCTGCGCTATCAATGACTGGAACCTGACGCCCAACATCAAGAACATCGTGTCTCAGATACACCCTGAGACGATGAAGAGGTAGGTGCATGATGTGATGTGTGTGGGATGAGAGCTTGATGTTCCCTGTCTGGAGTAGGTCTGCATCTCACGTCCATGAAGCGTGTGGGATGAGAGCTTGATATTCCCTGTCTCTGTCCTAATTCTATAAAGCGTGTAGGATGAGTGTTTGATATTTCCTGTCTCGAGTAGGTCTGTATCTCACGTCCATGAAGCGTGTGGGATGAGAGCTTGATATTCCCTGTCTGGAGTAGGTCTGTATCTCACGTCCATGAAGCGTGTGGGATGAGAGCTTGATATTCCCTGTCTCTGTCTTATGTCTATAAAGCGTGTAGGATGAGTGTTTGATATTCCCTGTCTGGAGCATCTTCCCGAGGCAAGGGAATTAACTGACTTTATAAGTCCAGTTTCCACCCTTGCCGAACTAGACTGGAATTACTGGGCTCGATCGTTGCGCCACCAGTGGCTGTTACCAATTATGTCTAGATGGTGGCGCCCAGTCAGGACGATCTGATCGATAATCAAGATCTATATTGTGATTAAACGGGTCTTACATCGCGAAATGCATCAAATCACGTGAGCACCTTGATTAAAAACATGAAAGGATTTGGAAAATATCTGCTGACAACGAATTGGCGATGCACATGCTTTGCAAACCCTGCAATCGATCGAAATCTGCACGACAGTTTACGAACCGGATTTTGATTTCGGTGCGCGATTTTGATGGGACTATGCATAGACTCGCTAGTCCAGACAAAACGTAACTCCATAATACCAGCCTAGTTCAGCAAGGGTGGAAACTGGACTTTTATAGTCAGTTAACTCCCTTGACTCGGGAAGATGTGTCTGGATGCAGATATTGGAGCTTGATATTCCCCACTGTTTTGTGTACTTCTGTATCGTATTTCTGGGGACGTGAAAGCAGAGTGTAACGCCTTGTTTTGATGGATGAAAGATATCAAACTCCCTTTAAGTATCCAGGTGTTGCTGTAACAGTTTGGACAACAGGCTACACAGCATCAAACACTTTATCATCTGGTCCAGATAACTAAGGTCCAATCAAATACATGTTGCCCAAAGCATACATGTCAATGCAAATCAAACGAAACATGTATGTGTGTGTGTTTTTCTGATGCTTTCTAGCCATAAGTTGTTGATAAAATGATAAGGAAATCATGCCAAAATTGCTAACTGTTCTGGCAACTGGTGACTACGAAACCCATACACACGAATATGGGATCCTTTTAATTGGACTCGACTTTCTTTCTTTCTTTCTAGGTATTACGGTTGCGGACTCAATACCCCCGAAGGCATTGAAGGGAAACGTGTCCTTGACATTGGATGCGGATCAGGCAGTCTCGTTTTCCTCCTCAGCAAATTAGTCGGCCCAACCGGAAGTGTAGTTGGTGTGGACCTGTCGCCAAATCTGGTAAGTGTCACGTGGAAATTGTATACATGAAAATGGATTGAGTAAATATGTTATGACTTCATCATAATTAAGGTACTCCTACTGTTTGCAACAGTTTGTGTATGCAGTGTAACTTCGTTGCCAAGAATTCCATTATCTCGATATTTTTTTTTATCTCATTGTAAAATGAAGTGATACATATCCGATCCACATAATCGTTATCATAATCATCACAATAATTGAAATTGTAGGAATAGTGCCATTTTGTGTTGTCAGATTGCCGAGTGTGTGAACAGGGAGGACTATCACCGCAACAGATGGGGATACGACAAGAAAAACACGGAGTTCTTTGTCGGAAACGCCGAGAACATGTCCCAGCTTAAAGATCAAAGTTTTGATGTCATTGTGTGAGTGGAACAAAGTTTATAACTTCTTTATTTCTAAATACTGAAAAAGACTACCCCCCTATAGATAACTATGAAGCATGCTCACGCTCCGAACATCTAGGGAAGGTTTGCAATGAACAATCCAAGGTGAATTTTCATCACAAGTTTCACTTTCTTCGCGTCCATATTCTGACTATGAAATTACCCAAGTGCTCGCGGTCAAATGTTAGAACAATATAGGCCATAAAAACGTCTTAAATCGGCCGCTGCGTCACAATTTCTGAAACCTTTGCCCTTTTCTTTGAAATCAGGGTTACAAAATTCAATCTTTTAAAAATATTATGGTAGACACATGGACGACATTTCCAATTTGACCTTTATCATATGTTCCGGTTTTTTTTAGCTGAACAATTGGCTTGTCTTTGCATGTAGATAAAATGGGGCAAACATGGCCCTAAATGTTTCTGCTTCTGTTGGTTTGTAAAGCCTATGATATATCCAGCCATCAATATATGCTTCTCGTTCTGAAGGCCTACTGTTTCTCGACACTTGCGGTTTCTGTTGCTTTTTTGTTGAAAGGGGTACCTGTGTAAAAGGGGAGTGGAAAAAGATAGATCATGGCTACTTTGTCCTTTTTACATTCACAATGCAGTTTTATATGATTAATGATTAAATAAGTGAACAATGAATTGTGCAGATCTTTTGAGTGGACATTTGACATCTTGGGGGCATTAACTTGATTGGCAACATCCTTCTTCATTTTAAGAGATTAATTTGTATATTGACAACGTACATTTGAACAGATCAAACGGTGTGTTTTGCTTGATACCAGACAAGTCAAAATCGTTTGCTGAAGCCTTCAGATTGATGAAGGTAAGTATAAGTATAGAATATCCGAATTCTATACACAAGTATTAGTTTTACCAATTTAAAGAAGCAAGAGGTGCATGTTTGTCTGATTCCATTTAGGAGGTATCAATAGTGCGTTTTCAATTTAGTGGTTTCGAACGTATATCTGTAAATGTCATTCAATTCTGACCAAGTTAGCGTGAGGTTTCGAATTCGAAACTATTATAGGTATCAAATCGAGTTGGAAACCTCTAAAACTGAAAACACGCTGTTTGTCTCCGTTCTACCATGGCACAATGACAAAGTAAACGCAAACTGTTTGGTTACAACTGAACTGATCGGTGTGATAAACAAAATGAACCTAATATTTGGAGTAGGTGGAAAGGTCGAATTCAAGGATCGCTGGAGATCAGCTCTAGTCTGCCTCTATGTTTGCTTCATGAACCCAAACAATAATGTTCACCAGAATTCTAAGCAGACATCCCGTAATTATTATTATGACTAACACCCCTAAAAATGAGGCAGCCTTTGTATTGTTTTGCTCTAAAGTGCACATCTCTGTTGTGACCTCACAAAATTCTATAGATGGGAAGTCTAAGTATTGTGACGCGGTAGACATGACGTCACAGTCACGAAGAGCCGTGTTGACGTCACTTAATTTGACAATACACTCTCAAAGTGTGTGTTCGTCAAGTTTTCGACCGGAAATATATTGCAACAGTTGATGTATAGAATAGAGGAACAGGAACACGTTATTTACTAACGTTACTGACGTAATGCCAATATTTGAGAACAAATTGTTCTGAATAAATATAATGCGATCAGCAGCAAAATCGTGGTCTAACGTACATTTAATACCACATGGTGGACCCATCAGAATGCAGGATTCTAAAATGTCATGGAAGAACTATGGATAGCAGTTTAGTATTCACATCTCTCAGTTTAGTATTCACGCGTCTGCAAAATTAAATGTCTGGACTAAAGTCGAGACAATAGGGTTGGAGATAATTGTTTCATTCCTTCCCGATTCAGGATGGTGGTGAGCTCTACTTGAATGACATATACGCTGAAACACCAGCCCCCGCCGAGCTCAGGGATGATCTGAAGTTTTGGGGTGAGGCTGCGTGTTCTTAATGTCTGATAGTTTTATTTTGTTCCTTTGTTGTTTAACGCCTGGTAAATATTCCAGCTATACGGCAATGACATTTAAATAATCAAATCCGAACCGGACAAACTCGTGATTGATATTATTAGCAACCTCTTATGCCGTGAGGTAACCAAGTTACCGAGCCTGACCACCCGATTCGTTAAGTCGCCTCGATAGACAAGCATAGGTTGCTTTGGGCCTCTTCAAACCCGGAATCCCAATGGGTTACTTATTGGAACATGCGATGACACAGGTGTAAATGTCATTTTTCTCATAATGGACTATTTGATTGGTCCATTTAGGTTGTCGGAAAAAGTTGGGATAAAAATAGGACCATATCAAAAATGAGAAGTTGACATGGAGTTTTGAAAAACATTATTCATACACTGAATCATAGGAAAAGCATGTCTTTTGAAGAGTTCCATTCTTGTGGTTTGGTTAAAGTTCATAGACATTCGAAACTAAGCCATTCATAGCTTCAATACGCTGAAGATGGAAAGCTTCCGATTCCCAGAGTACTTGTGCAGGATATTTCTGTTTGTGTGATTGAATGGTTACATGTTCTGGTAGATTGGGCTGTGACTGGTTCCCAGCTGCCAGATGAGTTGCTGTCCTCGGCCAAGGACGTAGGCTTCACCCTGCCATACCTCACTTCCGTCGGACCTATCGACGTCAACGATAGTTTCAAAACATTGCTACGTGAGTAGTTACGTCACACTGGCGTCATTGCCTTTAGTTGGTTAATTGTAAAACTCGGACTGGCCTGTCTTGTATCCAGGGGGGTAAATGCTGTACTTGAGCCTGTGACCTTTCATATAATTTGTAAATTATTATTATTTTAATTAGTAGTAGTAGTAGTAGTAGTAGTAGTAGTAGTAGTAGTAGTAGTAGTATATTTAGATGATTGCTAAATGTGCTTGGGTTGGTCCTATATGAACTAAATACTTCCTCCGGGACTTGTATTTCAAAAACCGAGTCGCCAAAGAGCGAAAAGGGAAATTCACGTGGTGTTATCACAGTTTATTACCGTTTTAAAACTGAAATGTTGTTTACACATGTTAGGGGCGTGGGTTCTTTAGACGAAATTTAATGTTTGTGATGGTTTAAATACGTGAGTCCACTCAGATCCGATATTTACTCGTTGAAATTGTCATACAATCTCTTGGTCTACCCTTTACTTAAGCACCAAGTGACCTAAAAATGGCATTAAAGGAAGGAGTGTAACATACTTTCAATATGAATCCACTTCTTTGGGGTCAAAATTGCCAAAATAATCATTCCACCTAGACCTATCAATACACACTAGTGATTTAGTGACCACCCAACTTGTTTTACCCGATTTTTGAGGCAAAAACAGTGATTGTGAATAAAGGCAATTCATGTACAACCTCAGAACCTTTTGATTTTGTGCATATTGCCATCTTTTGGTTTCTGTAATTAAATGTTTCAACATCAACATCGTCAGCCGGAAGAAGGTACCTTTGCGCGGGCAACCGGATGTTCCGTTTAGGAAGCGGAAGTGACAGGGGACCAGCTTCTGTGACGTACAAAGGAAACATCAAAGATCATGAGTCGGAGTTCAAATGGGACGTCAATCTGACCTTTAAGGTGAGACGAGTGATAGAAACCATTCGTAATGTTTGACCAAATCCGTGTACATGTTTGATCGGGCGCGAAAACATGTTTACATCTCATCCTTAGAGGCTTAGGACAAGTAGTGTGAATGTAAAACAAATGTCATCTGAAGTTCACCGAAAAAGCAACATAGGATATACTGGACGCCCTCATAGATGTATCCGAAATTTAGGTATTGGACATTTAGGCAAGAAATTGGCACCATATGGGCATCAACTGTGTTCCAATCCTTGCGCAGCCGAGTCGGAATTTCTGTTCGGATAGGGAAAATAAAAATGCTTATGATATGGTCGGAATCGTACAATGGACAATGTTAACGCCACACTCAGCAGCATTCTAGCTATGTGCCGGCAGTCTGTATAAATCGAGCCTGAACCAGACAATCCAGTGATTGGTATTATGAGCAAAGATTCAAACCCGCCAGGTGCGATGACACGTACTAATAAGAGATGACGATCTACCAGTACATTTGCCGTACGGACGTTTGGTGTTTGGATTATCAAATATTTCAAATCTTTAAAAGGTGTAATTAATAAGGTAATCTGTCTTGTGTAGTATGGTTTCATAACCAACCAGCTGTTCATTGTAAGGGTCTTTGGTGTGGATAATAGAGGATACATTTTCAGTTGTTTGTAGGTCATCACTGGACATACCAAGTTTGAATACCCCCCACCCTTCACTCTATGCTGCTTCGGTTAAATGGTTCATTTCGTGTCATCGTATCCCTACGGAGACATCAATGTCTGGCTGATCTGGCCAAGGCTCTATAACTTGCAGTCGACCATCGTTAAGACTATTGCTGAGCACGGGTTCCACAACAGATACGCTAACTATACACAGCAAAAAAAAAAGCAGTTTCCGGTATCCGGATACCTGCCGGATACCTCCGGACACTTACCCAAAACGCGTCCGGGTATCCGGTGGCAGATACCTTGCCGGATACCAGATCCGTGGTATCCGGCATGGACACCTCATCTGAAAGTATGCCACCTGGAATCCGGGTATCCGGCACCGGATACCTCACCGGATACCTCAATCTGGGTGTCCAAGGATCCGGCACTGGATACCAAGGATCCGGCACCGGATACCTCAATCTGAGTTTCTAAAAACATGTCACAATTTGGGGGGTGCATTTTGTTCAACTAAGTGTGAAACACCTAAATATATATTGGAAACTAACCAAGAAAATTGAACATTGCTGAAGGTATCCGGAAGGTATCCGGCAGGTATCTGGATGCAATTTTTCAAGATGTCTTATTTCTGGTAAATAATGTTAGCCTGGGCATATCAGATAGCTGTAGTAATATTCTGTGTCATTTTAGTTGTAAATATCCCCTTAAAGTTGAGATCTATGGGCATGTACTTTTGGAGAAGACATTTTTTTCAATTTCATCTATAATTCTTTTTAGATGTTAAGCTGTTTAATGAACAAACATCAGTTCTAATACATGTATGATGATATCCTTAAATTTCATGTTCAGACTTCCAGATTGTTCGGAGTGAAAGTATAAACTCATCGACTGTGTGCTCACTTGGGCCTTTGGTCCTAGTGAGATGATAATATGATTATTTGTAAAGGTACAAGTACTTGTTACAAGCATACCAGCTTCATTTAAGTTTGAAACACTATATGCCTCACTCTGAGGGTGACATGTACCAGATTTCATCACACTACAGAGAGCTGTTCCTCAGTTACTGTGAACATTTTTACTGAAAGACATTGAAAGCTAATTTGACCTTCAATATCAGTTGCGACTATTTCAAAAACAATTGTAAAGTGCTTCATTCAGTGTAATATTGACAACCATATGACAATGATATACAACTATACGTATAAGAGTTATTTAGACTTCTGCAGGAAAAGGCACATAAGAGAACAAGAGTCATCAGAAAGTGGCATATACCCCCGGTAGCTGTCTGTAAAGTAACCACTTGTAAATGTGCAATTCTGTATGTAATGAGTCAACAGTTTAAAGTTCTTTAAGAAGCATACATTGTTTACCCACAAAAGATCCACAATGGTTGCATCCATATGAATGCGAAGTTTCGATCAAATACTTTGAATGGTTTTCGAATTCTGCCCCAGAAACGAACCCCATCCCCAATTGAGTCTATGTCAAACTTCATTCCATAAAAATTGAAAAAAATAAAAATTAGAAAAATCCCAAAATATCAAAAGGCACCACTTCAGTATGTGCCTGATAGATTTGCCAAGTTTCGATCAAATACACTGAATGGTTTTCGAATTCTGCCCCGAAAACGAACCCCATCCCCAATTGAGTCTATGTCAAACTTCATTCCATAAACATTTAAAAAAATAAAAATTAGAAAAATCACAAAATATCAAAAGGCACCACTTCAGTATGTGCCTAATAGATTTGCCAAGTTTCGATCAAATACACTGAATGGTTTTCGAATTCTGCCCCGAAAACGAACCCCATCCCCAATTGAGTCTATGTCAAACTTCATTCAATAAACATTTAAAAAAATAAAAATTAGAAAAATCACAAAATATCAAAAGGCACCACTTCAGTATGTGCCTGATAGATTTGCCAAGTTTCGATCAAATACACTGAATGGTTTTCGAATTCTGCCCCGAAAACGAACCCCATCCCCAATTGAGTCTATGTCAAACTTCATTCCATAAACATTTAAAAAATAAAAATTAGAAAAATCACAAAATATCAAAAGGCACCACTTCAGTATGTGCCTGATAGATTTGCCAAATTTCGATCAAATACACTGAATGGTTTTCGAATTCTGCCCCGAAAACGAACCCCATCCCCAATTGAGTCTATGTCAAACTTCATTCCATAAACATTTAAAAACTAAAAATTAGAAAAATCCCAAAATATCAAAAGGCACCACTTCAGTATGTGCCTGATAGATTTGCCAAGTTTTGATCAAATACACTGAATCGTTTGGGAATCCTGCCCCGGAAAAGGAAATGATTACGGACGGACAGACGAATGGACAGGGACAGACATATTTGCTCACTATATTCCCCCGCATTATATGCCGGGGGGATAAAAAGTAAGTGTATGACCTTTTGCCAACTTCTATCCCTGCCCTAAAAAAGAGTTTGGCCATTAACATTTTTTTTGTCTGGCTATGACATTGACCTTTGACATAGCAGATCAATGTGTTATTCCAAAGATGTTCAAGCAATGCATGGTTTCATACGATAACTGTGGCTATCAAACTGAGGCAAAATATTGGAAAATCCCCATTTACACAGCTGGCTAATGAAACATAAACAACAACAAAATTATCAATTTCTTTTATTTATATGCCTATATCACACATTGAACAATTTGTTATTCCAAAGATGTCCAAGCAATGCATGGTTTCATACGATAACTGTGGCTATCAAACTGAGGCAAAATATTGGAAAATCCCCATTTACACAGCTGGCTAATGAAACATAAACAACAACAAAACTATCAATTTCTTTTATTTATATGCCTATATCACACATTGAACAGTGTTCACATGATGGTTCCTGATGCAGTATGCAATTTCCTCCTATTCTTCAATACTCGTAACAGAGCGGGATAACTGTTCGCTTGTTACAGTTCAGAGTTACTTGCCCTCAAACATCCTTTTCCTTCTATATTGCCATGGAAAAACAGGAACCAGGATGAGGGGAGGCCAGATGGGCTCTATCCCTGTTGCATTCTGTTAGTAGAATTGTGAACATTCTATTTGGTGTTTGGGTCCACATTTATAGACAAGTTGTCGCAAACATCATTACTTTCAAGTGATTACCACATGGCCAAAGACAATAATTTCTTCAACGTCCTTGAAGGGTCCCACTCCGACTTGGCATTGGTTGGTCTTCTCACATTAGCTAGGCCAGCCTTTGTGAATGTGTCCCAGTATATTCACTGCCAAATGTTCTTAATGACACTCAACAGACCAGGGATGGATAAATTCTACATTCAATTTAAAACGCCAATTTAAAAAATAATATATCTGTGGTATTAAAAACATTATTGAACGCCTACACATACACTGATATAAGGTTTGGGCATTGATGACAACAGCTGTTTGCAAAGTAGACACTTGTAATGTAGCTCCACCAGTTTAACTTCACTTGTAGTTAGTTATACAGGCAAACGAATATTGTTATTGTTAATGAACTGGTCGTGGTTGTGTAACTTTGAATTAGTCTGGGGACAGATGGTACGTAGTATGGCTCTGACAATTGTTCTGACAGTCTTCATTCGAACACTTCATCGTAATTATCTACGAGTAGTATATTCACTGATGAAGGCACTAATCACATGAGAGACACGCGGGGTGGTACCTGGTAATGCTTCTATCATATAAACACTGGTATTTCAAACAAAGTCGACGATGATGCAGTCCTTTGTTCAATAAATGTTGTCGTTGGGAGCACTAAAGTCTTATGTTGGCTTCACTTCTTGGTTAGGAACAGGTTAATGCCTAAATTATTACTATAAATCAAATGTCGAGTTATGTGATGTTTTATCAGTAAATTTAGGATTTTGCATATATTCTTTGGTCACAACACGAGAAGGGCATTTGGTGTTTGAAGTTTATTTCTTCAATTCCAGTTTGATCGCTGAAATAGAGAAACGTATAATACGCGTGCGTGCGTACGAGAGTGCGTGCGAGTGTGTGTGTGCGCGCGATCTAGCCATTTGCACAAACATTAGGAAAACCTCTGAGTATTTGAAAAATCCTAACTGTGTCAATTGCAGAAGATTCCATGAATCTGGAACTTAGACCTCTAGAACATAATACACAAACAGTTACATGTACGAAGCTGGTACTCGTAACACAATAATAGCCTCTAACATTTGAAATTCTTGTTGTGCTACCTGCATTCATAATCATGCATCTATACAAACGCAACAACATAAACGAGGTGCATTATACTATCTGGTCATCGAAAAAAAATAAAATTCTTTATTAATGTTGATTGTAAACCTCAGGATCAATGTTCCAGGACGAGGTTGACATGATTAAACTCGTTGGTCTTTGATCTTCTGTATTCTCGCATTTGAATCATTCCACTTATTTTCACACGGCATAAATAGCAAAATTATTTCAGTATTGGTCATTTACTTAAATGGTAATGGTAAACATCTGGATTGCAGAATACACAGTTCATTACATTTTCATTACACTTCTAATAGAATGGATTGGCATATACATTGTGTTGCACATGCACGTTAAATCATATATTCTCAATTTATCATAGAAAAGCTACACAGTATGAATATATGGAAAGCTTTGGTAATTGATGTCAGGCCAAAAGCTAATGGATCATAAACCCTACCTGTTATCAGTTGTAAATATGCCATGTCCTATCTCACAAACAGATCGAACTCATATAACCCTGTATAGAATTCAACTAGAACAGTTATCTACGACATAAGCCTATGATATAAACTGTATGTAAATTTAGGAAATGGCACTTATTGCACCGGAGCTCGGGAACTGGTGTTTACAAACAACAAGTATTGTGTGGTGTTGGGACAACGTCTTACTATACTAAAGGGAAGTGCTACAGTGTAACAGTGTTGCCAAATTGCTATTAAAGGCTACCGGATTGTTACAAATTTGAAGTTGACTTTACAGATTCAGTCGGTATAACACGTCAATTTCTCGACAGATTTTGGTCACTGTTGCCTTAATTTGGAAAAGTCCCCCACAAGTCTACCTTAAAACCTTTCGAAGCTTTACTAAGGCCTTGAATACTGTAACCCTGATCAAACATATTTTGAGCAAGAGTCGTATGACTCTTTACGATATTTTTGTAGAAGAGTAAGTTGACTATTCAGCCGACCCTCTTGTGAAACCTTCTTGATGAGAGTTTTTTGTTCACTCTAAATCTATATATATTGATCTAATTATGAAACAAACGAGGCGATTCCACTGGCCTCTTTTATTTCTCGTTCACGTGAATCAGAGGAAGGAAATTGGCTTTTTTACCATTATTGAACTATATCAGATCATCGATATACCAGGAGCTTAAGTTAAACTTTTTTTTATTTTGCCAATCCAAACAGAATTCCGATTCGTGCAGAAAGAAACAGATCAGCAAGAAATGGAGCACAATTGGTGCCCATGGAGAATGCCAGCCTCTTGCCTATATACCCTGTCCCCAAATTTCACATATAAATTACCAATAAGTAAGGTCAGCATTTCACGCATACTGTTTTCACAGTAAGCTTCAGATGATATTTGTTTTCATTTTTGACAGTAGAAATGTAACAATCTCTACGGTCACCCGTAAGTTTTCCTTTACGTTTGTCTTGTGTAAAAAAGGCAGTCTCTCAAGGTCAAAAGACCAACGAATCTCTGCGTTTACAGTGTTAAATGACAACGATGTTCAACCGAATAAAAGTACGCAGGTAACTGGTAACAAGAACAATGAATAAATGCTGTCACATCTATCCTAGTCAGTACAAACAAATGTCCAAATTATTTCAGAAAGCATTCTACCCAACACACTGAACACACTAATATCCCAGCTCTCAACAAATAAAACTGTCATGGCGGCCCGTACGTCATGTTCAAATCTACATGAGACTGCAGTCAGCAATGTCAAATTAACCATTGTTCTCGTGGCCTCCGCACGAGGTTTGCTGTAAATGTAACGGTCGAACATATAACTAAGACTCGGTTGATATGTCCCATATTTAAAAAAACATTCGTGATGAAGGCTCTATATATAGCATATACATCCTCAGGAAATTGTCTAATTTCCGAATTGTTCTGGAGACGGTGGTGCAGCCTAGTGGTTAGAACGTTCGTACTGATTGGGTATAATGAGTGAAGCCCATTTCAACTCCCAAGTGTGTTTATTTGGCGTTGCTCTCAGCAAATGGTTCTCACTGTGTGATGCCATACCAAAGTGTATTGATGCATTGTCCACGACATCATCAATGTTCATTCCACATTCAGTCGTGGCATGACAGATTAACTACAGTGATATAAAGATCGTGATATCATCAACTCAAGACGCCCAAACAGTGTGTTATTTGTCCTTTTGTCAACGACAGTTTCTTACCATGTCAGACTGTATCATGTATTGTGCACGACAACATGAAGGTTCATTCCACATTTCAGACAGGGGAGGCAGTAACAGTAGACGGGGAACTGGCCGCCATCTTGGCCAATACTCGCTACAGGGATTCCTTTGACCTTCAAGACACTTCCGGTCCGGCCGAGACAAGGCGGGTAAGTCAGCCGTACATTTCCAACACCCCTCTTCACATTTATTTATCTTCGAGGCACTCATAAATGCGTCTTTTCTAGAATACAGCGGGTGGGTGATCAAGTGATTGAAGGGTTCTACTTCCCACATGAGTACAAATTGTGGAATCAACTCTTTAACCGGCCTAAATTCCTACTTCATGTATGGTCGAAAACCGGAGTAACAGCGGTACAAAAGCTCATCCTTATTAAGATTAGTACATCAAATAATCATTTGAAAATATTTTGTTTATTTTTTCGCGAAGTTAGGAATGTCTTTGCAAATTGAATATATAATCAAATTATTAACCTATTTTGACAGCTTACAAAAACCTAGTACCTTGGTACTCCAATGTAACTTTGAAGACTAACGGTCAAAACTATTCATTGCCCATTGTTCTGTCTGTCCATATCAATCAGAGAATGTACTACAGAGTATCTGTTGCTGGTCCATGGCCACCTTCTATTACATGTGCAATAACCTTTAGGGTAAAGTGTTCCTGTACGTTTCAGTGTCAGAATCCCTTTGCGCATCTGGACCAGCTGTCATCCCAGGGTAAACGTCCTCCCTGCATCTTCACTGTGGGGGTATACCTGTGATGTCAAACCACAGCTGAAAACGTGTTGATTTCGTGTCAGACGGTCGGTTAGAAATACATCAATTTAAACTTTGTCTGTATGCGTTCCTGTTGTTCTTTCATTCCATTCCATTTGTTTGTTTGTGCTTGAGACCAGTGAGACTGCCTCTGTTTCATATTTAGATCGACCGCCTCCGTGGTCTAGTGATAGAGCGTTCGCCCGTTGTGCGGAAGGTCCGGGGTTCGATCCCCAACCCCGTCATACCAAAAGACGTTGAAAGATGTACTTGTTGTTACCCTGTCTGGCACTCGGCATCAAGGCGCTAAAAAAGGACAGGTTGGCTCGGAGTCAGTACACTGTGTCTGAGTGGGATATTCATGTTAAAATGCGGCATGGTATCTCAGTGTGCTAGCACTATAAATCGGCATCACCGGACTAGTACAATCATCCACACACACACACACACACACACACACACACACACACACACACACACACACACACACACACACACGTGCATGCACGACGCTATGTAAGTGCAATAATCTTGGACGCGACGTTAAATCCCATTTCATAGTCAACTTGCCCTTCATGACGAGCAATATTCCAGCAGCTCTGTTTACACAACGTTTTAAAATACAAATCGAGCATGCTCTTTCTACCAAGATTTCAAAGAGCGTCACAAGGCTCTTGCTCAGGAGTTGTTTGATCAAGGTTGCAGCATTCAAGGCTTCACTAAAGTTTTAGCAGAGATTTCTATTGAATATCGAAAGGGTGTGGTCGCTCAAAAGAAGTTAATGGTCACCATATTGTTTCATTTTACTGTAGTTAATATGTCGTGGCATGATAAATTAACTATAGTAATTTATCAACTCAAGTTGACCAAACGTTTCGTCATCGAATATACCTTTCCGTTTGACGCCATACCATATGCTGTATTTGGCATTGTACACGTTGGTATTGTACACGTCAACGTTAAGGTTCATTACACATTCCAGACTGTGGAGGCAGTAACAGTGACATGGGAACTGGCCGCTATCTTTGCCAATGCTTTTTATAGGGAAATGACCATGTCGTTCTATGGATGTTATGCTGCTGGAAGTGAGCTTGACGAGTCGTGTACGGTGAGCACGGGCATTGTCGTCTTGAAGAAGTTGACCCACATACCCACATAACCTACAAATACGGAGTGGAGTTTGGTCAGTCACAGTGATGCCACCCCACACTATAACCCACCCCTCGCAAAAATTGTCATGAGGTCTCAGGTTGCCATTGGCTTGACCTTCATTTCGACGTCGCCAGACAGGATCACGCCTATCAAGGCGGTGCAACCTGAACCGGGACTCATGACAACATGGAAACATCACACGTGACCAGGTGTTACGTTTTACAGACAGAAATGGACTTGTACAGGAACTTATCAACACTTATCTTTGTCCTGGCACTTGGTATTAACGTTTATGTTTCATGACATCCTACATTTTATAAGAGTGTAGAAGTAAAAAATTGTGAAACATATATGAAAGGACCTCTGAACATGATTAATGACAATAGGTGAAAGCCAGATGTTGCAAAAATGTAAATAAATGTCGCGTTATAAATACAGATTAATATTCTATAAAACAGACATATGTGTCAGAGGGAAGCTTATTAATCTGCATTTGCTGTATGAGCTACAGAAGGGCGACACAACAGCAGACTTTGTTCGGGTAAAGAGGGGCGACACAACAGCAGACTTTGTTCAGGTAAAGAGGGGCGACACAACAGCAGACTTTGTTCAGGTAAAGAGGGGCGACACAACAGCAGACTTTGTTCAGGTAAAGAGGGACGACACAACAGCAGACTTTGTTCAGGTAAAGAGGGACGACACAACAGCAGACTTTGTTCAGGTAAAGAGGGACGACACAACAGCAGACTTTGTTCAGGTAAAGAGGGGCGACACAACAGCAGACTTTGTTCAGGTAAAGAGGGGCGACACAACAGCAGACTTTGTTCAGGTAAAGAGGGGCGACACAACAGCAGACTTTGTTCAGGTAAAGAGGGACGACACAACAGCAGACTTTGTTCAGGTAAAGAGGGACGACACAACAGCAGACTTTGTTCAGGTAACCGGCTTTTTATGGCTTTGGAAGTCTTGTGTAGTCATTCAGCCGGGTGCGACAATAGTTGACAAAACATACAGGGTTGTGTGATCCTCTTCTGGCTGATCTGTTTCTTAATGCACAAGACTCGGAATTTCTGCTCGGATTTCAAAATCAAAATAATGGCCAAGCAATTTGACTTAAGCTTCTGGTATATCGATTATCTGATATCGTTCAAAACCATCAAATAGCTAATTTTCTTCCACTGATTTGCCCACCTGAACAGGAAATCGTTCCAGTGAATCTGAACAGTTAAACCGACACATCTTTTTCATATTTAGATTTATGCATCATATTCAGAGTGAGACAAAGCAGTATGAAAAGAGGGATGACTTTCAAATAGTCAACCTTCTCGAGCAATAAACCAGCGGCTCCAAACTTTGGTGTCAACTTTTGAGATACAATAGAGCATGTTCTTTGCATGAAGACTTCAAAGAACGTCAGGCGACGCTTGCTCAGTAGTTGTTTGTCGAGGATTACAACATTCAAGGTCTAAGTGAAGCTCTAAAAAAGTTTTATGGTAGTCTTGTGGTGGGGGACAGTTCCAAAATTGAAGCATCTGTGACCAAAATGATGACATTTGCAAGGTGGACAATTGAACAATTGATTGTCTTTGTATGCGTTTATGACGGTTGCCATCGGTAGGGCAAGAAAAAAAACTTGGTATCGTCATTATTTGGATGTAATTCATAAACATATGTTCACGACAAAGTCGGAATTGTACAATTAACTCTGCTTTTAGCAGACATTTCTTAATTATATATTTATTATAAAAAATGTCTTTTGTCGCTGTCATTTGTATATTTATTATGAAACGAAACACCTATCAGCTGAATAGTCCATATTGTTAGTACCTTTGTGAACTACGCAATTCTCACTGATTATCCGCATTACAGCATTCCTACTTGAGACAACTTCTCCCCGGCAATATGACCGAAATTCACGACATCGTGAGAAACGAATACGACTCCACTTGTGTAGAGTGCGACTTCATCTGCGCTGTCAACGACTGGAACCTGACGTCAGACATCAAGAACATCGTGTCTCAGATACACCCTGAGACGATGAAGAGGTAGGTGCATGATGTGATGTCTGTGGGATGAGAGCTTGATAGACCCACTGTCTGGAGCTCTGTGTCTCGTGTCTGTGAAATGTGTGGGATGAGAGCTTGATAGACCAACTGTCTGGAGCTCTGTGTCTCGTGTCTGTGAAATGTGTGGGATGAGAGCTTGATAGACCCACTGTCTGGAGCTCTGTGTCTCGTGTCTGTGAAATGTGTGAGATGAAAGCTAGATATTCCCACTGTCTGGAGCTCTGTGTCTCGTGTCTTTGAAATGTGTGAGATGAAAGCTTGATATACCCACTGTCTGGAGCTCTGTGTCTCGTGTCTGTGAAATGTGTGAGATGAAAGCTTGATATTCCTACTGTCTGGAGTTCTGTGTCTCGTGTCTGTGAAATATGTGGGATGAAAGCTTGATATACCCACTGTCTTGAGCTCTGTGTCTCGTGTCTGTGAAATGTGTGGGATGAAAGCTTGATATACCCACTGTCTGGAGCTCTGTGTCTCGTGTCTGTGAAATGTGTGGGATGAAAGCTTGATGTACCCACTGTCTGGAGCTCTGTGTCTCGTGTCTGTGAAATGTGTGTGATGAAAGCTTGATATTCCCACTGTCTGTAGCTCTGTGTCTCGTGTCTGTGAAATGTGTGGGATGAAAGCTTGATATTCCCACTGTCTGTAGCTCTGTGTCTCGTGTCTGTGAAATGTGTGGGATGAAAGCTTGATATACCCACTGTCTGGAGCTCTGTGTCTCGTGTCTGTGAAATGTGTGGGATGAAAGCTTGATATACCCACTGTCTGGAGCTCTGTGTCTCGTGTCTGTGAAATGTGTGGGATGAAAGCTTGATATTCCCACTGTCTGTAGCTCTGTGTCTCGTGTCTGTGAAATGTGTGGGATGAAAGCTTGATATACCCACTGTCTGGAGCTCTGTGTCTCGTGTCTGTGAAATGTGTGGGATGAAAGCTTGATGTACCCACTGTCTGGAGCTCTGTGTCTCGTGTCTGTGAAATGTGTGGGATGAAAGCTTGATATACCCACTGTCTGACGTAGGTCTGTATATCATGTCTGTGAAGTGCGTAGAGTGAGACTTTGATATTCCAAGTGCCTGGAGTAGGTCTGTATCTCATGTCTGTGAAGTGCTTAGGATGAGACCTTGATATTCCAAGTGTCTGGAGTAGGTCTGTATCTCATGTCTGTGAAGTGCTTAGGATAAGACTTTGATATTCCAAGTGTCTGGAGTAGGTCTGTATCTCATGTGTGTGAAGCGTGTAAGGTGAGTGTTTGATATATCCTTTGTGTCCCTTCCGAATGATTTGATGTCCAATGAAATACAGGTGTTTTCAATCTCTTAATTCTGGTTTTTATCAGCAGTATATAATCTTTTATAAGACATCAACATATGTGCAACCTAGCACCTCTATCTTTATTAGCTATAAACATGTGAAATCTGGTGTCTACGAATTAGATATCTGTGTGGCAAGAATGCAGGACCCTAATAATTGATGGACATTCATTGGAAGAGCATTACTTGTAGGTATTACGGTTGCGGACTCAATACCCCCGAAGGCATTGAAGGGAAACGTGTCCTTGACATTGGATGCGGGTCAGGCAGTCTCGTTTTCCTCCTCAGCAAATTAGTTGGCCCAACCGGAAGTGTAGTTGGTGTGGACTTCTCGACGAATCTTGTAAGTGTTGATTAATAGTACAGGGACGCATGAATATTTTTTAATGAGATTTCATTGTTGATGTGGATTACACCATAGATTAATAATAATGAACAGGTAATGGGGTAGCCGCGGTTCCAGTTTGGATTCAATGGGTACAATTAGTAATTCGTCCAATTCCATTAGTTGTTTATTTGTCCATCTTTAGCAAACGAAAGAAAACAATTTTTACACAGATTCTATAATATCGAATCCAATATGTATACATGAATTTACATTTCAGTAATGTACGATTAGAAACATTGAGAAAATTGTCCAAATTCGATAAAAACATTATGTCATTGTTTAAACCTATCAAATAACTCTCCCTCTTATTGAATTGCACATATATTTCTACCCTGGTGAATCTATATAAATATACATGCATGTTCGGCAAAGATGTTTTTGTATCTATTCTATATTTATATGTATTATGTCGATGAAATAATGTTGTACCACCGATGGTGCCGATAGCGGTGGCCTGAGTGTAAATAAGAGTTCAGTTCAGTTCAGTTCAGTTCAGTCCGCCGTGATTTGGCTGGAACATTGCACAGCACCCTAATAAGACACTAATAACAACAGTATTCATGATGTTCCGTTAATAAGTACCGATAAAGATACTGGAATTATATTGCTGGAGAAGTTCCATGCTTTGTTGTCAGATTGCCGAGTGTGTGAACAGGGAGGACTATCACCGCAACAGATGGGGATACGACAAGAAAAACACGGAGTTCTTTGTCGGAAACGCCGAGAACATGTCCCAGCTTAAAGATCAAAGTTTTGATGTCATTGTGTGAGTGAAAATATGTCTTTACTTTTCACTTTTCAATAATAATAATAATAATAATAGCTAGCTCATAATCACGACAGCACGTACAAGCACAGGGTTTACACTGCATGGGGACTGCTGCAGCTAAGATGTTTTCATTTTAAAATGTAATTTGCTCTTGAACCTTATTTGACATCTATTTTTAGTGTTGGTACATTCAGTGCCACGATTCGTCTCTTCGGGAACATGAACATAACAAGATATTGTAGACTTTCTATAAGGATTTGGCTTTCTTGAAATGTCAAGTTACCTCCCACTTTGAAACAGGTTCTGAAACTTATCGTATAAGCTTAAGGACTGTAACTAGAGCATATTGTATATTCACTTGCGAAAGTCTGGTCAAATAAAGAAGTAACACTAAAATGAGTGAAAAAGGTCGGTGACATCTGGGGACAATTTACTATGAGCAAGTCTTCATAAAAGATAAATGTCCACCACGTGCTGTCTTTATCGACAGCTTCTGGCGAGGACTTGCTCGTTTTCTAGTATTAGAAAAATGCTTCCTAAATCTGCCGTTTCAACGCATTTTACCCAAACCTCTGCATTTGGTGTTGTCAAAAACATGTAACAGTTGAGCGAAAAACACTCTTAAGCCTTATCCCCCATGGGACCGCATCGGTGGCCTAGTATTAGAGCGTCCGCCCGGAGAGCGGAAGGTCCTGGGTTCGATCCTCGGCCGCGTAAAACCAAAAGACGATAATAGGTGGTACTTGTTGTTACCCTGTCTGGCGCTCGGCATTAAGGGGCTAAAACAAGGACTGGTCGGCTTGGAGTCAGTATACTGTGTCTGATAGGGGTTTTCGTGTTAAAACTGCGACACGGTATCTCAATATGTTAGCACTATAAAATCCGCATCCGTCGGGACTAGTACAAGCAGACACACACACACACACACACACACACACACACACACACACACACACACACACACACACACACACACACACACACACACACACACACACACACACACACACACACACACACACACACACACCTCTTTCCTGATCCTTTGCATGGTCGGTTTTGTTGAAAATATTTCATTTAGTTTTATGCATCAATATATAGCTTGGTACTATTTTGTTCATTCTACAGTCTCCGATATGTCATATGTGTGCTAAAATCACATAACAGATCCTTTACAAGTTTTCAATATCATATGTGTGTAAGATGTTGTAAATGTAGATGTTGTAAAAGTGTCTCCCCTCATGAGGGCACACTGCTTATTGATACAACCAACATGGTTGTGATATCTGGTGGCATTGTATTTTAAATGCAACAGTGAGTGAGTGGGTGAGTATGGTTTTACGCCGCTTTTAGCAATATTCCAGCAATATCACGGCGGGGGACATCAGAAATGGGCTTCTCACATTGAACCCATGTCGGGAATCGAACCCGGGTCTTCGACGTGACGCCGAACGCTTTAACCACTAGGCTACCCGACAGTCCCTGCAACAGAATAGTATATATATAGAATAAAGAGAATATATGTGGGTAGGGGTAAGTTGTACAAAGACAGGTCGAGAAACAGACGTATATACTACTATACAGTTTAATATGTTTAAGTATTCATCTACCAAAACACGATCCTGAAAGTTGGCTGGAATAACTGAAACAATCACTTGTGCAGGTATCCATATTTGTACTTGTAGCAGAATTTGAATATTGTGGGAGCAATAACTTGAATGGCAACAGCTATTTTCATGTTAACAGATCAATCTATCTATTAACAGATCCAATGGTGTGTTTTGCCTGATTCCAAACAAGTCCAAATCGTTCGCTGAAGCCTTCAGATTGATGAAGGTAAGTGGCAGATAAATGGTGTACGAATATTATTAAATTTCCTTTAAAGAATCAAAGAGGTGTATAAACTGGACAAAAACAATTTAAATATTGAAACTTTCAGTAATTAAGCCGGAATTATTCACGCACTTGAATACATACAGTTTAGACCCTGGCTTAACCTCGAGACGAGCACTATTTCGAGACAGTCGAGATCGAGATACTTAGAGACAATTGTTTCATGTACTCTCGATTCAGAATGGTGGTGAGTTCTACTTGAATGACATATACGCTGAAAACCCTGCCCCCGCCGAGCTGATGGATGACCTGAAGTTATGGGGTGAGGCTGCGTGGTGTTAATGTCTTATATTTGTGTTTTGTCTGAATAACTCCGCACTCAGCAATATCCCAACTATGTGACAGGGCTAGCTTCCCGAAAGAGGTGACTATGCTTGTCGTAAGAGGAGGCTAACGGCCAAGCTCGCTGACCTGGGTGATGCATGTCATCGTATCCATGGATGCTCTCAGGATGTCAGATGGTCCAGACTCAATTGTTTACAGTCATATAACTTGAATATTGCTGTGTTAAACAATAAACAAACAAACAATACGACTTGTAACGATAGGGTGCGAGGGACCCATTTTCTCCTTGAATCAGAACGTGGTTACAATGAATACACAGGCAAAGTGTCGTCACGAACAGTTTCATTCTGCTGTCTTTGTTTAAATTAAAACACATCTGTGGCGTCATTTTGTTGTTTTAACGCCCATATGTTTTCTTGTATCAACATTTCAATCAATATTAACATGGAATTGATCAACTACGGCGACACGTGATGGGCTGGTGTGTAATTAACCATTAAATATTTTGAAATAAGTGTATAATAATTACACAAATAATTGTTACCTAAATCTGACAATAATGACAACCATGTTAAGGGACATCTATAGGATAAATCCTGATCAGTTCAGGGCTCCATATTTCAAATATTCCCCGCAAGTGATTGATCACAACACTCATTTGGGCCACACGGAGACTTGTACGATTCATTGTGAAAAATCAACAGCAGCAGGTGACAAACTCCGTGTTCACACATTATAAACACATGTTTATTTTTCTAATATTTTACACGTTAGAGTATCTTGTCAAAGTCTAAAAATAGGGATATGTACAGACAATTTTGTACTAGATTTGGTTATGATTATGTTATAAATGAGTTTCATTTCTTACTTGTATGTGTGGCCTTTTGTCAATTTAGAGAAGGGGTTGATCACCATCGATTTTATAATAACCCTGAGACAATCAATCCAAATTTGTATTTCATGCTTTTAAGTTCTACCCGTCACTACGCATGTCATGTGTATTTAATGATTTGAATAACGAAACATGTATAATGTAATGTTACGTCATAGTGGCCTTTGACGCAATAAACAATTTCAGTTTCGGAGACATTCATAAAGACGCCATTGAAAGTTGTGCAGAGTAATTGTGCAGAATATTTTTGTTTGTGTGATTGAATGGTTGCATGTTCTGGTAGATTGGGCTGTGACTGGTTCCCAGCTGCCAGATGAGTTGTTGTCCTCGGCCAAGGACGTAGGCTTCACCCTGCCATACCTCACTTCCGTCGGACCTATCGACATCAGCGACAGCTTCAAAGAAAAGCTGCGTGAGTGGCATTACACTGGCAACTCCATGTTATCGTGTTTTCAGGTCAAGGTTGACATGTTGCCGTGTCAGTGTGCATTGTCTTCATAATGAATGAGACAATAAGAATAACCACAACCAGTCAACTCTCAACCTGGTATTATCAATCCTCAATAGTTGTGATCACCTATATTAATTTACCAGATCCAGACGCCTAGACTAAACACTAAAGAGACACAACATGTTACCTATTGTGATCTTTTTATTGGTTATGTATTGCTATGTAAATAGTTGTCAGTGCATGGATTCTATAATTCTATGTTTTAACACGCAAACCGTCAGCCGGAAGAAGGTGCGTTTGCGCGGGCAACCGGATGTTTCGTTTAGGAAGCGGAAGTAACAGGGGACCAGCTTCAGTGACGTACAAAGGAAACATTAAAGGGCATGAATCTGAGTTCAGATGGGACGTCAATCTAACCTTTAAGGTGAGACGACTGCTAACAACCATTTGTTAAAGGGAAGATAAGTTCAGGTTTTTACTTCGTTTTGGAGTTGAAATCACCTTTACATATGTGATAATGGGTAGATAGATGGATAGGTGAGTTGACGTGAAATGGGGTCTAACGCATCTTCCTGGGGCAAGGGAGTTAACTGACTATACAAGTTCAGTTTCAGTTCAGAACCCCCGACCTCTACCACTAGACCACAGAGGCGGTCGATAGACAGATAGATGCTCCGGAAACGAAGTACGGACGGGCGGACGGACGTACAGACCAGGGGGTCTGGGCGACAAAACCATTTCCACATTCGACAGAAATCTCGGCTTAAAGAGCGTACGAGTCGATTGTACGATTCCGACTATATCATCAGTCTGTGTCTACTCATCACTATCAAATAATGATATTGAGAGTATTCTGCCTACCGATGGAACCCAGGGCCAAGCAATTTGACTTAAGCTTCTGGTATATCGATTATCTGATATCGTTCAAAACCATCAAATAGCCAATTTTCTTCCCACCTGAACAGGAAATCGTTCCAGTGAATCTGACCAGTTAAACCGACACAATTTTTTCATATTTAGATTTATGCATCATATTCAGAGTGAGACAAAGCAGTATGAAAAGAGGGATGACTTTCAAATAGTCAACCTTCTCGAGCAATAAACCAGCGGCTCCAAACTTTGGTGTCAACTTTTGAGATACAATAGAGCATGTTCTTTGCATGAAGACTTCAAAGAACGTCAGGCGACGCTTGCTCAGTAGTTGTTTGTCGAGGATTACAACATTCAAGGCCTAAGTGAAGCTCTAAGTTTTATGGTAGTCTTGTGGTGGGGGACAGTCCCAAAATTGAAGCATCTCTGACCAAAATGATGACATTTGCAAGGTGGACAATTGAACAATTGATTGTCTTTGTATGCGTTTATGACGGTTGCCATCGGTAGGGCAAGAAAAAAAACTTGGTATCGTCATTATTTGGATGTAATTCATAAACATATGTTCACGACAAAGTCGGAATTGTACAATTAACTCTGCTTTTAGCAGACATTTCTTAATTATATATTTATTATAAAAAATGTCTTTTGTCGCTGTCATTTGTATATTTATTATGAAACGAAACACCTATCAGCTGAATAGTCCATATTGTTAGTACCTTTGTGAACCACGCAATACTCACTGATTAACCGCATTACAGCATTCCTACTTGAGACAACTTCTCCCCGGCAATATGACCGAAATTCACGACATCGTGAGAAACGAATATGACTCCACTTGTGTAAAGTGCGACTTCATCTGCGCCGTCAAAGACTGGAACCTGACGTCAGACATCAAGAACATCGTGTCTCAGATACACCCTGAGACGATGAAGAGGTAGGTGCATGATGTGATGTCTGTGGGATGAGAGCTTGATGTACCCACTGTCTGGAGCTCTGTGTCTCGTGTCTGTGAAATGTGTGGGATGAGAGCTTGATAGACCAACTGTCTGGAGCTCTGTGTCTCGTGTCTGTGAAATGTGTGGGATGAGAGCTTGATAGACCCACTGTCTGGAGCTCTGTGTCTCGTGTCTGTGAAATGTGTGAGATGAAAGCTAGATATTCCCACTGTCTGGAGCTCTGTGTCTCGTGTCTGTGAAATGTGTGAGATGAAAGCTAGATATTCCCACTGTCTGGAGCTCTGTGTCTCGTGTCTGTGAAATGTGTGAGATGAAAGCTAGATATTCCCACTGTCTGGAGCTCTGTGTCTCGTGTCTGTGAAATGTGTGAGGTGAAAGCTAGATATTCCCACTGTCTGGAGCTCTGTGTCTCGTGTCTTTGAAATGTGTGAGATGAAAGCTTGATATACCCACTGTCTGGGGCTCTGTGTCTCGTGTCTGTGAAATGTGTGAGATGAAAGCTTGATATTCAAACTGTCTGGAGCTCTGTGTCTCGTGTCTGTGAAATGTGTGGGATGAAAGCTTGATATACCTACTGTCTGGGGCTCTGTGTCTCGTGTCTGTGAAATGTGTGGGATGAAAGCTTGATATACCTACTGTCTGGAGCTCTGTGTCTCGTGTCTGTGAAATGTGTGGGATGAAAGCTTGATATACCCACTGTCTGGGGCTCTGTGTCTCGTGTCTGTGAAATGTGTGGGATGAAAGCTTGATATTCCCACTGTCTGGAGCTCTGTGTCTCGTGTCTGTGAAATGTGTGGGATGAAAGCTTGATATTCCCACTGTCTGGAGCTCTGTGTCTCGTGTCTGTGAAATGTGTGGGATGAAAGCTTGATATTCCCACTGTCTGGAGCTCTGTGTCTCGTGTCTGTGAAATGTGTGGGATGAAAGCTTGATATACCCACTGTCTGGAGTTCTGTGTCTCGTGTCTGTGAAATGTGTGGGATGAAAGCTTGATATACCCACTGTCTGGAGCTCTGTGTCTCGTGTCTGTGAAATGTGTGGGATGAAAGCTTGATATACCCACTGTCTGGAGCTCTGTGTCTCGTGTCTGTGAAATGTGTGGGATGAGAACTTGATATTCCCACTGTCTGGAGCTCTGTGTCTCGTGTCTGTGAAATGTGTGGGATGAAAGCTTGATATACCCACTGTCTGACGTAGGTCTGTATATCATGTCTGTGAAGTGCGTAGAGTGAGACTTTGATATTCCAAGTGTCTGGAGTAGGTCTGTATCTCCTGTGTGTGAAGCGTGTAAGGTGAGTGTTTGATATATCCTTTGTGTCCCTTCCGAATGATTTGATGTCCAATGAAATACAGGTGTTGTCAATCTCTTAATTCTGGTTTTTATCAGCAGTATATAATCTTTTATAAGACATCAACATATGTGCAACCTAGCACCTCTATCTTTATTAGCTATAAACATGTGAAATCTGGTGTCTACGAATTAGATATCTGTGTGGCAAGAATGCAGGACCCTAATAATTGATGGACATTCATTGGAAGAGCATTACTTGTAGGTATTACGGTTGCGGACTATATACCCCCGAAGGCATTGAAGGGAAACGTGTCCTTGACATTGGATGCGGGTCAGGCAGTCTCGTTTTCCTCCTCAGCAAATTAGTTGGCCCAACCGGAAGTGTAGTTGGTGTGGACTTCTCGACGAATCTTGTAAGTGTTGATTAATAGTACAGGGACCCATGAATATTTTTTAATGAGATTTCATTGTTGATGTGGATTACACCATAGATTAATAATAATGAACAGGTAATGGGGTAGCCGCGGTTCCAGTTTGGATTCAATGGGTACAATTAGTAATTCGTCCAATTCCATTAGTTGTTTATTTGTCCATCTTTAGCAAACGAAAGAAAACAATTTTTACACAGATTCTATAATATCGAATCCAATATGTATACATGAATTTACATTTCAGTAATGTACGATTAGGAACATTGAGAAAATTGTCCAAATTCGATAAAAACATTATGTCATTGTTTAAACCTATCAAATAACTCTCCCTCTTATTGAATTGCACATATATTTCTACCCTGGTGAATCTATATAAATATACATGCATGATCCGCAAAGATGTTTTTGTATCTATTCTATATTTATATGTATTATGTTGATGAAATAATGTTGTACCACCGATGGTGCCGATAGCGGTGACTTGAGTGTAAATAAGAGTTCAGTTCAGTTCAGTTCAGTTCAGTCCGCCGTGATTTGGATGGAACATTGCACAGCACCCTAATAAGACACTAATAACAACAGTATTCATGATGTTCCGTTAATGAGTACCGATAAAGATATTGGAATTATATTGCTGGAGAAGTTCCATGCTTTGTTGTCAGATTGCCGAGTGTGTGAACAGGGAGGACTATCACCGCAACAGATGGGGATACGACAAGAAAAACACGGAGTTCTTTGTCGGAAACGCCGAGAACATGTCCCAGCTTAAAGATCAAAGTTTTGATGTCATTGTGTGAGTGAAAATATGTCTTTACTTTTCACTTTTCAATAATAATAATAATAATAATAATAGCTAGCTCATAATCACGACAGCACGTACAAGCACAGGGTTTACACTGCATGGGGACTGCTGCAGCTAAGATGTTTCTTTTTTATTTACAGACAAATTAGACATTTAATTAGATTTCCGATTTAGTTTAAATGTTTTCATTTTAAAATGTAATTTGCTCTTGAACCTTATTTGACATCTATTTTTAGTGTTGGTACATTCAGTGCCACGATTCGTCTCTTCGGGAACATGAACATTACAAGATATTGTAGACTTTCTATAAGGATTTGGCTTTCTTGAAATGTCAAGTTACCTCCCACTTTGAAACAGGTTCTGAAACTTATCGTATAAGCTTAAGGACTGTAACTAGAGCAAATTGTATATTCACTTGCGAAAGTCTGGTCAAATAAAGAAGTAACACTAAAATGAGTGAAAAAGGTCGGTGATATCTGGGGACAATTTACTATGAGCAAGTCTTCATAAAAGATAAATGTCCACCACATGCTGTCTTTATCGACAGCTTCTGGCGAGGACTTGCTCGTTTTCTAGTATTAGAAAAATGCTTCCTAAATCTGCCGTTTCAACGCATTTTACCCAAACCTCTGCATTTGGTGTTGTCAACAACATGTAACAGTTGAGCGAAAAACACTCTTAAGCCTTATCCCCCATGGGACCGCATCGGTGGCCTAGTATTAGAGCGTCCGCCCGGAGAGCGGAAGGTCCTGGGTTCGATCCTCGGCCGCGTAAAACCAAAAGACGATAATAGGTGGTACTTGTTGTTACCCTGTCTGGCGCTCGGCATTAAGGGGCTAAAACAAGGACTGGTCGGCTTGGAGTCAGTATACTGTGTCTGATAGGGGTTTTCGTGTTAAAACTGCGACACGGTATCTCAATATGTTAGCACTATAAAATCCGCATCCGTCGGGACTAGTACAAGCACACACACACACACACACACACACACACACACACACACACACACACACACACACACACACACACACACACACACACACACACACACACACACACACACACACCTCTTTCCTGATCCTTTGCATGGTCGGTTTTGTTGAAAATAAGGCTACCCGACAGTCCCTGCAACAGAATAGTATATATATAGAATAAAGAGAATATATGTGGGTAGGGGTAAGTTGTACAAAGACAGGTCGAGAAACAGACGTATATACTACTATACAGTTTAATATGTTTAAGTATTTATCTACCAAAGCACGATCTGAAAGTTGGCTGAAATAACTGAAACAATCTTGTGCAGGTATCCATATTTGTACTTGTAGCAGAATTTGAATATTGTGGGAGCAATAACTTGAATGGCAACAGCTATTTTCATGTTAACAGATCAATCTATCTATTAACAGATCCAATGGTGTGTTTTGCCTGATTCCAAACAAGTCCAAATCGTTCGCTGAAGCCTTCAGATTGATGAAGGTAAGTGGCAGATAAATGGTGTACGAATATTATTAAATTTCCTTTAAAGAATCAAAGAGGTGTATAAACTGGACAAAAACAATTTAAATATTGAAACTTTCAGTAATTAAGCCGGAATTATTCACGCACTACGTACAGTTTAGACCCTGGCTTAACCTCGAGACGAGCACTATTTCGAGACAGTCGAGATCGAGATACTTAGAGACAATTGTTTCATGTACTCTCGATTCAGAATGGTGGTGAGTTCTACTTGAATGACATATACGCTGAAAACCCTGCCCCCGCCGAGCTGATGGATGACCTGAAGTCATGGGGTGAGGCTGCGTGGTGTTAATGTCTTATATTTGTGTTTTGTCTGAATAACTCCGCACTCAGCAATATCCCAACTATGTGACAGGGCTAGCTTCCCGAAAGAGGTGACTATGCTTGTCGTAAGAGGAGGCTAACGGCCAAGCTCGCTGACCTGGGTGATGCATGTCATCGTATCCATGGATGCTCTCAGGATGTCAGATGGTCCAGACTCAATTGTTTACAGTCATATAACTTGAATATTGCTGTGTTAAACAATAAACAAACAAACAATACGACTTGTAACGATAGGGTGCGAGGGACCCATTTTCTCCTTGAATCAGAACGTGGTTACAATGAATACACAGGCAAAGTGTCGTCACGAACAGTTTCATTCTGCTGTCTTTGTTTAAATTAAAACACATCTGTGGCGTCATTTTGTTGTTTTAACGCCCATATGTTTTCTTGTATCAACATTTCAATCAATATTAACATGGAATTGATCAACTACGGCGACACGTGATGGGCTGGTGTGTAATTAACCATTAAATATTTTGAAATAAGTGTATAATAATTACACAAATAATTGTTACCTAAATCTGACAATAATGACAACCATGTTAAGGGACATCTATAGGATAAATCCTGATCAGTTCAGGGCTCCATATTTCAAATATTCCCCGCAAGTGATTGATCACAACACTCATTTGGGCCACACGGAGACTTGTACGATTCATTGTGAAAAATCAACAGCAGCAGGTGACAAACTCCGTGTTCACACATTATAAACACATGTTTATTTTTCTAATATTTTACACGTTAGAGTATCTTGTCAAAGTCTAAAAATAGGGATATGTACAGACAATTTTGTACTAGATTTGGTTATGATTATGTTATAAATGAGTTTCATTTCTTACTTGTATGTGTGGCCTTTTGTCAATTTAGAGAAGGGGTTGATCACCATCGATTTTATAATAACCCTGAGACAATCAATCCAAATTTGTATTTCATGCTTTTAAGTTCTACCCGTCACTACGCATGTCATGTGTATTTAATGATTTGAATAACGAAACATGTATAATGTAATGTTACGTCATAGTGGCCTTTGACGCAATAAACAATTTCAGTTTCGGAGACATTCATAAAGACGCCATTGAAAGTTGTGCAGAGTAATTGTGCAGAATATTTTTGTTTGTGTGATTGAATGGTTGCATGTTCTGGTAGATTGGGCTGTGACTGGTTCCCAGCTGCCAGATGAGTTGTTGTCCTCGGCCAAGGACGTAGGCTTCACCCTGCCATACCTCACTTCCGTCGGACCTATCGACATCAGCGACAGCTTCAAAGAAAAGCTGCGTGAGTGGCATTACACTGGCAACTCCATGTTATCGTGTTTTCAGGTCAAGGTTGACATGTTGCCGTGTCAGTGTGCATTGTCTTCATAATGAATGAGACAATAAGAATAACCACAACCAGTCAACTCTCAACCTGGTATTATCAATCCTCAATAGTTGTGATCACCTATATTAATTTACCAGATCCAGACGCCTAGACTAAACACTAAAGAGACACAACATGTTACCTATTGTGATCTTTTTATTGGTTATGTATTGCTATGTAAATAGTTGTCAGTGCATGGATTCTATAATTCTATGTTTTAACACGCAAACCGTCAGCCGGAAGAAGGTGCGTTTGCGCGGGCAACCGGATGTTTCGTTTAGGAAGCGGAAGTAACAGGGGACCAGCTTCAGTGACGTACAAAGGAAACATTAAAGGGCATGAATCTGAGTTCAGATGGGACGTCAATCTAACCTTTAAGGTGAGACGACTGCTAACAACCATTTGTTAAAGGGAAGATAAGTTCAGGTTTTTACTTCGTTTTGGAGTTGAAATCACCTTTACATATGTGATAATGGGTAGATAGATGGATAGGTGAGTTGACGTGAAATGGGGTCTAACGCATCTTCCTGGGGCAAGGGAGTTAACTGACTATACAAGTTCAGTTTCAGTTCAGAACCCCCGACCTATACCACTAGACCACAGAGGCGGTCGATAGACAGATAGATGCTCCGGAAACGAAGTACGGACGGGCGGACGGACGTACAGACCAGGGGGTCTGGGCGACAAAACCATTTCCACATTCGACAGAAATCTCGGCTTAAAGAGCGTACGAGTCGATTGTACGATTCCGACTATATCATCAGTCTGTGTCTACTCATCACTATCAAATAATGATATTGAGAGTATTCTGCCTACCGATGGAACCCATTACAAACACATGCAAATATCAGTCAATTGTTCACCTGCAAAAAACACGGGATCATAAGGTACAAGTCAAACTAGGGAATGGCACTGATGTGTCAAATTTGGAAATGCCCTCCACGTGTCTTCCATTAAACGTTTTGAAAGTTTTGCTTCTGAGTGGTATGACGCTCTTTGAAATACTGGTAGATTGTACGATTGTAAGTTGGACCCATGAAGATCTGGTTAAAGAATAGGTCTTCAGCAACCAATGCTTGCCGTAAAAGGCGACTTTGCTTGTCATAAGAGGCGGCTAAGTGTGAGTGGTCAGGCTCGCTGACTTGGTTGATGTCATCGTATCCAAATTGCGTGGATCGATGCTTATGATGTCAATCACTGGATTGTCTGGTCCAGACTCGATAATTAGCAGACCTCCGTTAGATAGCAGGAATATTGCTGAGTGTGGCGTTAAACAACGAAAATCAAACAAACAAAACCTAAAAGGTTGTGAATTATAAAACACTGAAGGCTGGAATTTTGATCGACATAAAGGGAAAGCCGACTATTGATAAGTTTCTTGTGGAAAGTGTTTTTGTCACTTTCAAATTATATCAACTATCATAAATTTGGTGAAGAAGCTATGAAATGAAAATCTTGGCCTTTTAGTAATATTAATCGCCTAACTGCCATATATTATACCGATGTAACAACTCAGGCCGTTGGCCTGCAAACGGAAATAAACGTTTTTAATGATAATGATTCATAAACACATATTTGATAATCGTACAGCGGATTTTAGCAGGATTGTGTTATGATTATTACATATGATTATATGTTTTGTCGCTTTTTCGTCACTTAGACATGCCCGAATTCAAAGGTCTTTGGTTCGAATCCCAGATTCACCCTGATTATGATTCTTGGTTTGTCAGCACCACACTTATGCTCGCTGGGTTCACAGAAGGGTGACGTCTTTGACAGGCACCACTTCGAATTCGGTATTTCCTCTTAAGCTGACACACCTTGATATAATCGAAGAACTCTTCAAATAGTCGTTCGAATCTCATCTCTCTCACTTGATACATTTTGTGTCTCATTGTGTTGCAGAATGAAAGAAACTTAATACTCTTAGTTTACAATCATACGACTAATAGTGCCACTGTTAGTGCATGTTTCCTCCATGTAGGATGTATCAATGATATTTAGATCAACACAGTAGGGGCACGGGTGGCCCAGTCGTCTAAGACGCCGCCAGAAACCTATGCTCGTGGGTTCGAATTCCCGATTATGTTTCCAGGTTTGTCAGTACCATACGATGCTCGTGGGTTTCGCCAAAGTGGTAAACGTTTGAGACCTGCATCACTTCGGGGTTTCTGCCCATAGTAGGTTGACACGCCGTAATATAACTGAAATACTGTTCAAAGCGTCGTTAAACCCAACTCACTCACTATCAACACAGTTCCCCACACAGTGTGTTTATTTGTCGTTACTCCCAACAAATGGTTCTCACCGTGTGACGCCATACCAGAGTGTATTGGTGCATTGTACACCACAACATCAATGTTCATTTCACAATCAGATTAAGTATAGAAAGATGAAATAATCGGGTAGATCTTGATTTAATCAACTCAAGTTGCCCAAACAGTGTGTTATTTGTCGTTTCGTCAACGACAGTTTCTTACCATGTCAGACTGTAACATGTATTGTGCACGACAACATGAAGACTCATTCCACATTTCAGACAGGGGAGGCAGTAACAGTAGACGGGGAACTGGCCGCCATTTTGGCCAATACTCGCTACAGGGATTCCTTTGACCTTCAAGACACTTCCGGTCCGGCCGAGACAAGGCGGGTGAGTCAGATTCTGATCTATTCATCCCTCCACGTGTCCACCATCCACCAGGGTCTCTCAGATCAGTCTTATTAAGATTCCGGTGGGTGGATGAACGAGTGGTTAACAAGTGGATGAACCTCTTGTTTGGTTGACCCAGGTTCGTACTCACATGTGTACACTTTGTGCGATTTTATCAAAGAAAATAAAAGTGTTCCAGAAATCTATTTGAAAAATAATTATGCGTCAGACTGTTGAAAAATATGTGAATTTTCTGCCATAAAAATTATATTGTTGCAAGGTGGGGTTTTTTTCAAAAATATTCAGGCTAATAGTTTTAATGGAAAAATATATCTGGATGTGCAGCTAAAATATATAATCTTCAGCCAAAATCTTGTTTCATGTACCATTACCTTTTGGGTAAAGTTTTCCTTTATATTTCAGTGTCAAAATCCCTTTGCATATCTGGATCAGCTGTCATCCCAGGGTAAACGTTTTCCCTATATCTTCACACTGAAGGAATACCCCTGACGTCAATGTCCTAGCTGAACACGTTCAGATTTCTGGTTCAAGGGTTGTATCAGATGAGCGGTTATAAATAAATAAATCCATCTAAACTACATCTGTATGATTTCCTGTTGATCTTTTAACATATCACTTGCCATTTGATTGTTACTTGACTCGGCAATATTCTCATAAGCTGTTAAACATTAAGTATGAAACTTTGTCCCTTTGCCACACTGGAATTGGTAAAAATATATGTTTGCGTTTTGGGTTTTTTTTGGGGGGAGGGGGTTGACTCAGTTGTGTAAGGCGCCACAATTCGCTGTGCGGAGACAGGCCAGTAACCTATGATCGTGGGTTCGAATCCCGATTCGCCCAGATTATGTTTCTAGGTTTGTCAGCTCCATACCCGTGCTCGTAGGTTTCACCAAAGTGTTAAATGTCTAAGACCTGCATTACTTTGGGCTTTCCCAACACATCAAGCTGACACGCCGTGATATAACTGTAATACTGTTCAGTGAGGCGTTTAAGTCACTCTTGACAAAATATGATGTCTAGAATAGAAGAAACATACGTGCCAAAAAGGTTCAGCTTCCTCAATGTAACAGAAAGCCAAACATGCCTGTTGACAGAATGCTGACGGTATGTTCAGACAGCAAAGTTCAACTCAAAGATATACTTTTTCATATCGCAAAAAAATGGAACACATGTGTTGAAATAGGTTTCAGCAATTTATCACCCAAAACCGGCTCCCACTGGAAATATCGGATCGGTGAGATCAAGTGATATCTACATTGTAGATATCGCTGCAATGAAATTGCATCACAATGCTTTGCAGACTATTGTGACGTCATGTTATCATGATAAGCCATGACTTATTGACGTTAGCAGCATTTTTTACACTGAAGTCACTGCTTATTACTGTCTAGAAGAATGATGTTGGATGATAAATAAAATCTCACCCTCGTGCCTTTTGATATCAAACATATCAACACTCGTTGCAAGCCTCGGAGTCTTTCCACTTGCATCAACTCGTGTTGATATATTTGATATCAAAAGGCACTCGGGTGAGATTCTCTATATTTCAGCAAGTATATTTCACATGAAACATACTGATGCCTATTCTCGGCAATAAGTCATGCACTTCTTCACTATGTGTTATGGCTAACTGAAAAGGCCATGGTGGCTTATGGGTAAATGGAAAATAGATTAAATACAGGCATTGTTAAGAGAGAGATATTTTATATGGATTCGAAGGGATTCGATCTGTGTAATAGACTCAAACCAGTCCCAAACAAATTGTATAATGTGGCTCTCGCGGCTATGCTGTCAAAACATGCTTTGTGATTCTAACAGGTTACCGTATATAACAAAATAAGTCTTGTTTTCTCGTTTTTTATTCAACAAGGATAACAGGATGAACTCAATATCAATTAAGACCGCCTTTGATCTCTAAAAAACACCACGCTTAGTAATTTAAATGTGGGACACTCATTTAAAGGTATCTCTAAAGAACACCACGCTTAGTAATTTAAATGTGGGACACTCATTTAAAGGTATCGGTAATCGGATTAATTAATTACCCGCTAGAATAGGTGAAATGCACTCAGCTGAAAATGTGGCTCTACCGGCAATAGCCATTTCTGAAATGTGGCTCTCCCGGCTAGACACCGTTTTGAGCCTAGTCTGAGGTCATTCTGGGGTGATTTGAGCCAAGATCCCGGTCACTCTCCGTTGGCCTCAAATCAATATCCCTTACTTTCTACAGTATCACACGTCTTCTGTTCTGGCATACAGTTCTGGTCCTTTCAGATGTTCGTGTAACCTTCGTCACGTGACAGGACCCTGCGCTATCACATATAACCTGCATGCATAGTCACATAACACAGCATATGAATGCACCTAATGACAACATTTCTTGCTTGGCAGGTTTAAGCAATATTTCTGCATTTGTACCACTACATTTCGGTTGTTAGGATACAATTAATGCTTGACAATGATAAATTGAAAGAACAATTGTATGATTTGAGACAATTTTCATGGTTACGGATTAAATTTTATATCATGTTATCTTCCGAACCGGCGGATATATTCTCACGAAGATAAGGTCGTTGTTATATATAGAAATCTAGAAGAAGAACAAAATATGTTGACTGGGTCCAATGACATACCTTTCCTGTAATTCTATAGTCCGTTAAGTTAAGTTCCATAATAATATTCAGTATCATGATTTATTCATATGAACAAAGGTCAAATGTAGTGAGCAAATTCTTGAAAAGCTAAAATCTTCAATATACATTTACGTAAAATAGAACTGAAATATTGTTTCTCAGTAAACTTCAGATGACATTTGCTGTCATTTCTTACTTAATTGTCCTAAAACAAGTGAAGATAGATATGTCACTGCATTACCCATAGCGTAAAAAATAACCGAGTTGATGAAAATCGTATGTGCACTCGTGCAGATATCACTTCATGCGCACCAGGGTGTTGTTTACGTCATCGGGATGGCATTGCTGACGTCATTCGAATATCATTTAAATCCCGCTCGGAAAATAGAAGAATTTTGACACTCGTTTCGTAATATCAGTATGACACACATGCTCGTTAAAATAATCCCTATACATCCCTGGTCATCAAATGCTCCGTGGACCAAGGAAGGAAGTTTCCTCAAGTTTGCCGTGTGCGATAGTGGTGTACAGTTGAAAAATCAAACGTTTTGACATATTTGGACTTCGTTATTTTGTGACATTGCAAACATTCAAGCAATTTTTTTGTTTTTTGTTAAGAATTCACATTATATCAAGGACCATTGTATCTCCCCGCGACAGGGGTCAGGCTGTATACTCGCCGGACCCAGGAACACATCTGTCTCCTCACGCACCTCCTCGGTCATTGCAGTAAGGTGGCAGATTTTGTGTTATTCGGTATGAGCTGCGAAATCTGGATATCGTGAAAGCTAGATACAAACCCCATCACTATTTATGCATCGCCAATGATATGCAAACACTATTACCAGTTTTTCCAACATCGCCTTAGTCTGAGCGGCGGGGTAGCCTTGTGGTCAAAGCCTTAGATTGTCACGCCGAAGGCCCGGGGTTGATTACCAATATGGGTAAATTGTGTTAAACCCATTTCTTGTGTCGCTCCAACATATTGCTAAAATATCGCGAAAAGCCTATCACTCACTCCTCTTAGTCTACGGAAGTTAAATGCTATAAACATGATGCCTTGAATCTTCTTACAGCCACAATCATACACACAAAGGTTTAGCCTTGTGGTTCATAAGTAGCAGAAAATGTTTCAACATTTTTGTGAATTATTTTTGTGAATTTCAGCATCAACAGTCCAGTGGTTTCTTAGATTGTTTGTTTGGTTGTTGTTTAACGCCAGCTATATGACGTCGGTCTGTAAATCATCGAGTCTGGACCAGACAATCCAGGGATTGGCATAATGTGCATCGATCCACGCAATTGGGATACGATGACATGCATCAACCAAGTGGGCGAGTCTGACCACCCGATCCCGTTAGTCGCCTTTTTCGACAACCACTGTCGCTTTTTGCGGCAAGCATTGGTTGCTGAAGACCTATTCTAACCCGGATCTTCACGGGGCGGTTTCTTAGAAGACCTATTTATATATTTATTTAATTTGTTCCTCATAGGGATCCTTCTTCAGAACAACGGAATGCATTGGCACATGAGGTGGGTATGGATAGCAATTCCACACTCACTCCATATGTAAAATGCTTCAAAGCAACCTTCCCATTGTAATAATGGAGTGATGTATAATCTCAACTGTGATCACGTGACTGGAAGTTATCTAACACCCAATCAGTATAAGCCCGCATTGCTATGCAGTCACTGCGTCATACACCAAGGCGACAGTGGGTAGAGCTGACCAATCTAAACAAGGCTCTAACTCTAGAAGCAATACTAAACCCACAAAATAAACTAGAAAACTTCAAGGCCTTAGGCGTATTCTTAATCAAAACGGAACTAATAAAACGCATCTAAAAACACAATAACTCACCAAATCAAAATCACATAAACAAACAAACATCCACCATACCCAGCTCCCTTAGTTCTCCTCCCCAATCCCATCGGCATCTATTCCAAATCTCAAAATTCCCAAATTCTATATAAGCAACCCCTAAAACCCCCCTCTTGGGTTGCACAGACCACCTTCGCCCCTTTCGGAAACACATTAAATGGCCTGGCCGGGCCCGTGTGCGAAATACGCATCAGTCGGAAAGCGCACGTTAAATCTCCAAAGTAAGTAAGTAAGTAAGTAGAGATGACTTCGTTCCCGGTGGCGGTGGAAGGGGAGCCTTCGTATAGTCAGTCAGCATGCTGATTCTGTGTCTGGCTACGCTGCAATTCCTTCGTAGTATTCAAGGTAAAAACAACCTGTTCGGTATAATATATCCTTCTTTATTTCACTAATGCCCTAATCTATATTTCAATACCTGTATCAACTGCAGCTCTCAAATAAACATGTTCATGCAGTTTACTTGTACACAATTTCAATAGAAAATGTAACAATGTGATTTTACGACCACATTTCCTGAAACATGTTTTCACTATAAAGCCCAGGGCACTGATAGACAGTCCCAAAATGTATTTTATACGCGGATTCCGGGTTAGAACATAGGTCCCTGCAAGAGGCGACTAAATGAATCGGTGGTCAGGTTCGATGACATGGTTGATGCATGTCATTTGATCCAAATTGCGTGTGTTGATGGATCACTGGATTGTCTGGTCCAGATTCGATTATTTACAGACCGCCGTCATATAGCTGGAATAGTGCTGACTTTGGCGTTAAACTGCAAACAAACACACAAATATGAGATTCAATGAACTGACAAATATTTACACGATTTATCAAGTCTGTAAAATCTATAACTGATGGAGGGTCTGAACCAATAGTATGTCTCTCTCTTCTGGGATGCAGCTTTCTTTCCTCTGACACTCCAGATACTATCAACATTATTGTCATATGACATATTTTCATATTGTCATATTTTTATCTATAACAGTTACGTGATAATATACGTAATCAAAGACAATTTAAACTAACAGAT